TCCCTCCCAAATCTCGTGCTTAGACACATCTTGTGCCTGGAAGGCCAAAGACGAAGGGACTTGGTAACACACATGAGCTAAAATCATCTTGGGCTCGATGCGCTGGGGGGTCCCAACAATTGCTTCGCAAGGAGCAAAAGTGCCCGACACACACACACACACACACACCAGACCCAGCAAGGGTACCCCCCTGGGGGCCAGAGGTTGCCCTTATAAGTTGTTTCGATGCTTCACGACGCCAGGGGCAGCATGCTGCGCATGAGTTTGTATTCAATGGAAAGCAATGGCAGCAAGGGACCAGCCCCAATCATCAAAGCAGAGGCTATGGTGCCTCTTTGTGATGCAGAAGCTCTTGTTGGGAGCACGGATGGGGCCGCCCAACTGCGGCGAGGACGGCTCTGAGGTTACATACAGTCAAGGCGCTGAAATGAGGAGCTCTTTGGGTTCAGGATGGGCTCTGTGTTTGCGGAGCCGTTCCTTAGATTCACGTCGGAAAGCCGATTCGTGGCCGAGGCTCGCCGTGGCCAGATAAAACCATCAGTTCCTTGTTTGGCGCCCTCAGTGGTGGCACGGTGGCTGCAGCACTCCAGACGGCACGATGGCGGCGACGGCGAGGGTGGGGAGTGGCCAGGTGCCCCGGGCGGCCGTGCAGTTGGCCGTGCCCTCGCTGGTGGAGCTGCTGCGGCAGGGGGCGCCCGAGACCAGGGAGCAGGCGCCTCCCCTCTGCCCAGAGCAGGCTCACGCGTCCGGCGGCGGCGGAGAAGGCTTAGGAAGCTTTGCAGAAGACGGGAGAGGCCTTCCTGGCCTTCTGCCGAGGAGCCCCTTCCTCCCCGTCCTCCCTCAGGAGGAAAAGAAACACACAGACACAATTAATCCTCGATTTCCCAGAAAATATGGGAAAATATGGGAAGTGGGCGGGAAGACAGAAACCCAGAAAATATGGGAAAATATGCGGGATTATTTTATTTGTGTGTATTTATTTGTGTGTCCTGGGGCCCCTTCACTCCCCCCCCTTTGCCCTGTGCCTCCACCCCCCTGGCGCGCCGCCGACAAGCAGCCCCGGGCAGCCGAAGGGCACCCCGGGCCCGAGGCCTGCAGCGCGGCCAGCCGCCCGGCGCCGGGGCGCAGGCCACGGTGGCCCGCCGCCCTTCCTGAGCGGTTGGGCCCCCCCGATGCGGATGCTACCGCTCTCGAAGAGGCGGGAATCGAGGGGCCTGGGGGGGCGACCCTGAGCTAGGAAGGGTGGATCCCTTCCGCGCTTGCCCGGCCCGCTGCTCCTCCCTCGCCGCCGCGGCCCGAGTCGCATCGAAGGTCTGGACAGACCACGCCCCAAGGAGAGGTCCAGAGAGTCGCGGGACCGATCTCATTTTGCTCCCCCCTCCCCACGCTGCCCTCCTCTCGCATTGTAGCCCCCGGAGCCCGCCCGGGCCAGCGCCGGAGGTGCAAGAATTCCACACGGATCTCCGACATCGTATGTTTGTGTCTGCGTCTGGTTATGGAGCCCGCAGGGCGCGAGCCACGGCGGGCCCCCAGGGGAAAACTCGCACACAGATTCTGCAATCAGTGGGTGCTCGGTGTATGTCTTCGGCGCGCATCGGTACCGCTCGCTGCATTTCTTCCCAGGGCCGTCTTGGCGTCCCCTTGGGGGCGGGCAGTCTGCCTTGGGAGCCAACAGAGGGCCTGCGGGGTCCATGGGGCACGAAGTGCGTGAGGGGTTTGCGGATTCGAAGCTCACTTGATCCGTCTGAGGGGTCAGCTGAGGGCCCGTTGGTCTCCATGAGGCACGACGTGCGTGAGGGATATACCGAATTGAAGCTCCCTTGGCCCGTGTTGAGCCCAAAACCAACGACCCCTGGAGGTTGAGGGGGTTTTGAGGGCCAGCGGAGCGCCTCTGGAGGTCGACGGCGCACCAAATGCAGGAGGCTCCCGGGGTTTTAGCGACCATCGGAAGGCTCCTGGGTGTCCATGTGGAGTGCAGTGAGTGTGGGGCCCACCGAATTGAGATTGCCTTGAACCATCTTGAGACTCCCTTGAGCAGATTGTTTCAGGATGTGTCGAGCGAAACTCAGAATGTTCAACCCAGGGCCCCCGAGAGCGCCCAGAACCTGGGGCTGAGCGTCCTTTCAACAAGCCCTCAGGACTCAGGACGAAGGACGCAAGGAACCCGAAGAGATTCCACTCAGTGCCCAATGGTACGGTGACGGACATTCGCGGCGCTCGTGGGGGAGGGCAACATGCAAGGAACAGTTGCGTGGCGATTAAGTGAGAACGATGTCGCCCGCTCAGCACCCTTACAGTCAAATTTTTGAGGCAATGCCCTCTTCGGTTCCACAATGGGAAGCCGTGCGGCTTACGTCCTTCAAAAGGATACAATTTGAAGAAGTGCGTCTTGAGAGCTCACGGCATCCTGACTCCCGGCGCGCGCGGGAATGGGCCCGCCAATAGAAGGGTGGAGCCACTGTCGTTGTGTGGTTTCGAATTCGGTTAGCTGTCATGGGCCGCGAGGACGGGATTGTTTTGACGTGGACCCCTTTCCATGGTGATCCCTCGGACCCCTTCCTGTCAGAGGATGAGGCTCTCTTTGCGGCGGGCTACGATGTAGCCGATGAGCTCGCGTCCAAAGCCGCCCAGGAGTCTTGGGACATCGCCACCAGGGATCAGCGAGTGCCAGACACTGACCGTTGGGATGCCAGCTGTTTTTGATCCGCCAACGGGCCGCCCAAGCGTTGGCGGAATCCATCCGCGTGGTCCCCTGGTCTGCGGAGAGGCCCAAATCGCGCCGCCCGAAAACCACAAAACTTCAGGCTGCCCTCTCCCGCAGCTCGCATTGCTTAACGAAAATTTGCCGAAAGTGGATTTGTTCGCGTTGTTCGGATTGTTTTACCTCGGCTAACGTGCTGCAGGCGTGTGAGCATCCCTGCCCCGCCACTGATGTCGGCTCGGCGCAGGATGCGTTCGGTAATGGGATCGTGCGGGCGAATGGGTCGGTGAGGGTTGTGGGTGTTGAGCTTCATCAGAGTCATTGCCTACATGTTTGGCCTGCGCATTCACTCTGCTTCTGCTCTTGGTGTGGCCGAGCGGTCACCGTGGTCCCCAGGCAGTTCATTCAGGAGTGCGCCAGATGCTCCGAGAACGGATTGGAGAATCTCCAGACAATTGGGCGGGGCTTGTTCCCAGGCTACAAGAGTCCAGCGGCACCCGTTTTGGAGGTTGCCGCCTGCGGTATTCGGTGCGATCATGCGCGTCGGATGGTGCCAGGTGCCCTGTAGATTCTTAGGCCACGTGGACTGTGGCGCCCAGGATACTCCAGGACACAATCCGGAATTCTGGGAAATCCGTCGACCAATTCCAAACGGGCCCCCTCGCGTGGGACATTCTCAGAAAACCGGCTTTCCGAGCCTGCCCAGGGAGGCCGCACCGGGCGTGTCCCAGTCCGGGGCTTTCGCTCGAGGCATGCTCCCAAAGTCGGCCCCTGGCGCCCCTGCGTGCCCGGGCGCACTGGGCGCACCGGGCGTGTCCCAGTCCGGGCCTCTCTCTCGAGACATCCTCGCAAAAGTCGACCCGGGCGTGTGCCAAGATGGGGCTCCCGCTCGAAACACATTCGCGAAATCGTTTAATCGCCCCCCGAGGGAGGCCCCCGAGGACAAGGACGATGATGAGCAGGGAAGAATGCTTAGGAGACTGGAGGTGTGGAGGAGCGAAGAGGGGAGGAGGAGGAGGAGGAGGAGGAGGAGGAGGAGGAGGAGGAGGAGGAGGAGGAGGAGGAGCAGGAGCAGGAGCAGGAGCAGGAGCAGGAGCAGGAGCAGGAGGACGAGGAGGACAAGGAGGACGAGGAAGAGGGGGAGGAGGAGGAGGAGGAGAGTTGGATGAGGTGGTGATGATCAAGAAGGCGAGACTCGCCCTCCTGATGCTCCTCCTGATCCTCACCCCCCTCATCCTCACCCGCGGCACCACCGCCTCCCGCTCAATTTTCTCTCGCCCACATGCGCACGCTCCTTCATACGGTAAACTCCTGATCAACCGCAGAGCCGCTGGCTAGTACGGTGCTCCTCGCGCATGCGGGCGCAACAGAGTCCCCCACAGGGCGTCCGTCCTACTACGCAAGCTCTCCTCCAAGATATCCACCAAACCTTCTGCCAACAGGGTCCCGGGGGGCCACGCACAGAGGCAAAACCATTCCCGGAGGGAGCTGCCTGAGAACTTCTTAAGATCTGGCTGCGTACTTCTCCTCCTGGGGCTCCCTTGTACAGTTACGCCCTGGCAAACTAACGTTAAGCATGGAGAATATTTCGAAACATATTTCTAACACTTGATCTTCTGGAACGCATTTGGCCCGTCGGGCCGGCGGCCATGTGTTTCCCCATGCCCTCCTCCGGGGGTGGCAGGATGGAGCGGATTAGAGAGAGAGTGAGAGAGAGAGGGATCAAGGCTGCCCACGCTCCCACTCCACCCCTCCCTTCCCCAGAAAGGCATCTGTCCCTTCTCCTCCGTGATGTAAGCTGGCGGCGAAATCAAAATTCTACCCTTGCCGATCAACGATTTAGGCAGCTCGATGGGCGGCGAGGGAAGGGTTCGGAATGCGTCGGACACGTGGCGAAGTCCGAACCCTACCCCTGCCTCCCATTGATACGGGAGAATATATGGTTGGTGGTGGTAATGTTCGGATGTCGCCACCTAGTTAGTAAGAAACCATTACGTCCGTCCTTTCGTCGATCGGTTTCCTTACGAGGGGCCGCGCCTCCCCGTCAGCAAGCCGCCGCCGCCGCACTCACCTGCCGCGGGAGCGGCATCAATGACGGCGGCAGCAGACAGCGGCGACAGCATTTGCGACTGTTGCTCGAGGGGGCCGGCTCGAGGGCCATGCCTGTGCGAGGGGATGCGTCTCCGGCTTCTGGACGGCCGCGGGTGGCCGGCGCTGGTGGCGTTGGGCGCCTGGCTAGCGCGGCGTGCCTGGGCCCAGTACGACTTCCCGGTGGACAATTGCGCTTGCCATATCCACTATGAGGCTCATGGGCTATGCAGTTTTGGCGGAAGCCAGCGGGAAGCTCGCAGGAGGGGGCGGAATCGAAGCGGCGGCGGGTCTCTTCTGCCGGCGGAAATAGAAGCGAAATGCGAACATGGTGGGATGAAGGACTTCTGCAGTCGTCCATGCCCATGCCCTCGCGGTCTAGATCCCATGGATGTTCTCCTAGCGGGGTACCAATGCCTGCTTAGCCCTGGGCCTCCAGGGGGCAGTCATTGGGGCTCTCTGCGAGGCCGCATTGCAGGACTCTGAGGCCCAAGTCGTTGACAAAAACCTTGCCAGTAGTAAGCTCGGCAGTCATTGCGCGACTGGCCTGGGCGAGAGCTGGATACCAATTGGCCAGGCGTATTTTTAGTGTTTCGCCCTTCAATGGAGGGGCCCGCTGGGCTTCCGCATGCGTGTCCAGCGCGTGGCTTTGGGAAGGGTCACATGTGAACCTAGCCGTGTGTGTGAGTGTTTCTGTGCCCTGGTGTGTGTTTGTCTGATTTTAGCATTGCCGCCTTTCCTGTTTCAAGACCGTCCAAGACCGCCCACGAGGCTCCTCAAGATGGCCCCGAGAGGGTCCCCGAGGCCCCCCAAGTGGGGCCCAGTATCCGTGGGATCGCGGCCGAGGAGTCCACAGTCGAGAGGCCGAGGACATGAATATGTCCCTCGCATGGATACGTCCCCTCGCCCGCGGGAGGCCTGGGTGCAGCTGCAGCTCCTGATGTCCCAGCTGCTCGCGGACGGCTTCCCAGACCAGCTCGGATGGCGCCAACCGTGCACTTGATTACAGCGATTTTGGGCCGATTTTGAGCCAAGGACCGTGCATAATCTTAGGTTGTTGATGTGCAAATTCAGCATCGGCGCTGGTACAACCCAGCCTAATGAGCCAAATCCCATTCGATTGCCCGAAATACGGCGCAATCTCGCCCAATCCTGGGCCTAATCTGGTTGTAGTCAGCCGAGTTGTCCTGTGATACAACGTAGGCGTCCCTCACCTCCTCACCTCTCGGAGGGCACTTCGTAAATGTGCTTCTTCGCCAACCAGGGAAGACACATAACCGATCGTGGGCCTGGGATGAGCCTGGTGGCCAGGATCGGTATTGTGTGGGCGTATCTAGGTGGCCTGTGGCCCACCTTTCACTCTGCCTGGGTTGTGGGCCAGAGGCCTCTTGGATGCCTCTTGGGATCCCTCGCAGTGCCTTTCGGGAGCCTGCTGGAGGCTGCCCCTTATGCTGGCCTCCTGGGGGCGTCTCGGGGGCCTCCCGGGGGGGGGGGTCTCACCAGGATCTGGTGTAGGGTGCGCAGCTGGCGCCCTCCGACCGGCTGCTCACCGAGGGCAGCCCGGCGCGGCGCGCGGTCCTCGAGCGCGACTGCGAGGACCCGCGCCTGGTGAGCAACGTGCTGGAGCTGGGCGCCTCGTAACGTAATCCGGGCCGCCATGAGGGGGCCGAAGCAGAGTGGGTCGGAGCATCGCGCCGCATGGCCGATGCGCCGGCGATGCGTCGGCGATGCGGTGCGATCCTCCGACCCCATCTGCTCGGATCCCATGGGGGCGGCCTCCACTTCTTGCTAGGACAACTCACCCATGACCATGATCTGGACCCGGCAACCCCCCTCTAAATTGTAGAGGGGGGGATTATGTCGGTATATGACAACCTCCGCCACCGCTCCTGTGGCATTCACCCCCGTTCACCGCCACCTGCATGACGCTCCACGCTCCTCCAGCCCTCCTCCCCTCTCCATCTTTTTTTTTTTTTGTTTTTTTTTTTTGTTTTTTTTTTTTTCGGCTCGATGTCCTGTCGGACGCAGCCGTCCCCCTCTCCATCTTCCTCCTCCTCCTCCTGGCCAATTCCTTCTGACGCCGTCTCCAACCCCTCTGCCCTATCCCCCCGGGCCCCTGGGGCCGTCGGCCCCCTTGGGGCCCTCCGCCACTTCCCTGGGCTTCTGGGGCCCTCTGCCCAGGGCCTCGGGACCCCGGATCTGAGCAATTTCTCTGGTGGAACGGGCGGGCCGGGATCATGGCAGGGGGGGGGGTCGAGGGCTCCGGACCTTGTGTGTTTTTTTCCGACCCGGCAACTATACCATGATCTGGGCCCGTCCGTCTCGCCAGCGATTCTGTGCCCTTTTCGCCAGCGGAGGGGGGCTCCCGATCTGTCCTCGGGGCTCCTCCTCTCGCGCTGACCTCCCTCCCCTGCCCCATCCATCCCGCCCTCCTCCTGCTCGCCTTCTCCTTCTACTTTTCCTTTGCTGTGGTTGGAGCTGCCTCCGAGACGAGGGCGACTCGATCGCCTGAGCCGAGGTATCCCGATGACCCCCGAGATCGGCCCTCGGAGAGATGGATGGGGCCGCGAGCTGCTCCATCGATTTTTGAGTGGCAACATCGATCACTATGAGTTGCCCCGCGCACGTGGCCCCGAAAGTCCTTGACCCCTTAGGGTGGCGCCGCTGTCTGGGATCATGGTAGAGGGTGGACGGTCCTCTTCAGGAGGGGAAAAAACACACAGACACAATTAATCTGCGATTCCCAGAAAATATGGGAAAATATGGGAAGTGGGGGGGAAGACAGAAACCCAGAACATATGGGAAAATATGGGAGATATTTTTATTTGTGTGTATTTATTTGTGTGTTCCAGTTCCCTCTCACCTCTCACCATCCACAGCAGTCTTTGGGGCGCGGCCACGACCGATCGAGGAGTGGCCCGGAGCCTGGCGCCCCGCCTCCCCCCCTTCCCCACCGCGGCTTCCCCCTGGGCGAGGGGTAGCAGGGGTATCCACAGCTCGATTGCTTCGGCCGTGTCGGAGGCGGTTGCGTTCAGGGTCGGTTCGGTCGGGTGGCCTGCTGTGCCACTGCTGCTTCGCTGCGTCCTTCTATGTGGGCTGCTTGCGGCCTGTCGGTTTGGGTGGGTTTCGGTTTCGTTCTTGGTTCTGTCGGCTTTTGGCTCTCCTGTCGCCATGCACGGTCTTGGAAGCAGTCCAGGGTTCGCAGGGAGCTAGCCTCACAGAAGCCTTGTGTATGAAGACTGCGCCTCTCCTCCTTCTATCCATCTATCCTGCTATCCTTTCGGCGGGTATTGGATAGGATATTGTGCCCGACGTTCGCCGGACCACGAGTGGGAAAAGCACGCTTTCTTTCCCTCACCTTGTCCTCTACCTACGGACCCCACGGTAGGTTCAACCCTTTGGTTGTCAACCTCCGTTCACAGATAATCAGCCTTTTCTACTTCGCTCTCTGGGCCCAGGATCGGTGCATGTGCTTCCCTGGCCAATCCAGGACTGCGTATGCATCGGTCCTGGGCCCCGGATAGGCCTGGCCAGGGTCGGTGCAAGTGCATATTCATATTTTGTATAACGTCCTCTTCTCCCTACTCCCTCCTCGCTCCCAATCGACTCTCGGACCTCTCCTGGGGTGCGATTTGACAAGAGTTTCGAGGGAAGCCTTGGTGCCGAGATGCCTTTCGCTCGGGGCCACAATCAGGCGAACAGCACCCCAACAAATTAGTTTCTCGATCTTCGATCCTCTTCCTCGTTCCCCCCATCAAAGCCAGCGGCAAGTAAAGGACAGAAGGAGGTGTGCGGGCTCCCACCTTTCCCAGGAGTGGACCCTCGCGCCAGCTGGCTCGGACTGCACGCCAGGGCACATGGGCCACTACATCGAGGTAGCGGGAAGTGCCCTGGGGCCCCGGGCGACACCTGACGGGAGGGAGAGTTTTGGCGACTCGAGGAAATCGAGGCGGTTTGCCTTCTCACTATTTTCGCCCTTGGCATTTCTCTGGGCCCTGGGGCTATCAACAACAAACGAGGGATGTGCCACTTGCCTTAGGGAAGGGGTCACGATCCTTATCGGGGAGAGGTGGAGGGAGCAGACGAAAAGGATGAGCAAGAGGAGGACCAGGAGGAAGAGGAGGAGGAGGAGCAGGAGGAGAGGGACAAGGAGTAGAAGGCGAGGGACAGAGATGAGGAGCAAGATGATAATGATGAGGAGGACGACAAGGGAGATACATGGGAAAGGGGAGAAGGAGTTAGGGCAAAGGGGGGTTGGGCTGGGGGTGGTGGGGTGGGGGTGGGGGCGTTTCCCGCTGCCCAGCCCGTCCTGTGCTCGCAGGCCTGTCTGGCCAGGGGAGACGTCGAGGGTGCGGGGCTGTATGTGAAGGCCTTCGGCCATCGCCGCCAGCCCCCTCAACTCTCTCTCCTTCTCCTTATCCGTCTCCTTCTCGTCTCTGCTGCTCCTCCTTCTCTCGTGGCCCGAAGTGCCAGCTTGCGCAAGAGTTTCGGGCCCTCGTCAAAACGGAGACTCTCGCTCAAGACCTCGCTGAACTTGTAAGATCATACCCACTCGCAGTCTTAATGTGTTGCTATGCCAATATGCACGAATATCATGTCAAAACGGGTTTGTCGCTTGAATGGCAGGCGCATTTGGTGCTGGATCTTCAAGGGGGTGCGGCGCTTTTGATAGCGAAGAGGGAAGCCTGCAGGAACTGATGATGAGAGGACGTGATTCGGAAGTGTGCATTGCAGCATCGCTTACGCATCTAAGGTTGATTCCGATCATTCATCTTCCTCCTCCTACGCCTCCATTCGCCTCCTCCTCCCTGTCCTCCTCCTCCTCCTCCTCCTCCTCTTTCCGCCCCTCTCCTCCTCTTCCCCCTCATCCTCCTTTTCCTCCTCCTCCTTCTCGTCCTCTTCCGCCTCCTCTTACCCAAACGGTAGGTCCTCCAGCCGCGCCTGCTTATTACCCTGTCTCTGCCGCTGCGGCATTGGACCTCGAGGACCCAGTCACCGCGACCGCTTTACACCGCTTTGGACGCTATACTTCTGTAAACGGCAAAAAACAGTTCACCTTCAACGTCTTCATTTTTAGATGGTAGCGGAGCAGGTTCGCCCCTGCTCCAATGTCACGGCCGACAAGCCCTGCCTCGCGTCGACGGCCATGGTTCCCACATTCCGTCGTTCTACATCGCGACGCCTACAGGGGACGTCAGCCATGGATACGTCAGGGCTGGGGCGGCCCATCCGCAGGAACACTGCGTCGTGCCGCGCACACGCCGTTCAACATCCCGCTCTACATCCGCCTTCAATATCATCGATTTCGTGTACCTCTTCCCACTCACTGTGGCAGGACATGTTACTGAATGGACCGTCGGGGCATCCGCCCATACGCCAGGACCAGTGGCGGATAACGTACACAACCAGTACTTCATTAAGGAGTACTACCAAGATCTACAAGGACCGCTCTGCGATCCATCCCGGGCGTGCTCGGACTGTGTCCAGGCATTTCGCGGGCCCCGCACTGACAGTGCCCCTGCCAGTGGGGCGGCCTCAGGTATTAGTCGGTCGTTCGGCACGACGCGCACATCTGCGGTGTCGGAACACGGCCCCGTCTCTTTCCCAACCATTCCGTGGTGTTGGGTCCTCGTTTTGAAGAGACACCGCCCCGCGTCACTCCTCCTCTCCTCCTCCCTCCTCCCCCTCCTCCCTCCTCCATCACCATCATCACCATCACCCGTTTCAGCACACACCCCTCGCGCGTCTCGTGACCCCATAGGGAGCTTCACCGGATGCCCCAATGGGACCGCCCGCATGCGTCACGCACCATCACCGAGTACAGCGCTCCGTGGCCCCATAGGGAACTCCAACGAAGGTCCCAGTGCCACCGCCCGCGTGCGCCACGCGCCACCCAGCACAGCGCTTCGTGGCCCCATAGGGAGCTCCAACGAAAGCCACATTGACACCGCCCGCATGCGTAACGCACCACCCAGCACAGCGCTTCGTGGCCCCATAGGGAGCTCCACCGAAGGTTCCAGTGGGACCGCCCGCATGCGCCACGCACCACCCAGTACAGCGCTTCGTGGCCCCATAAGGAACTCCACCGAAGGTCCCAGTAGGACCGCCCGCATGCGCCACGCACCACCCGCCACAGCGCTTCGTGGCCCCATAAGGAACTCCACCGAAAGCCCCGGCGCCACCGACCGCATGCGCCACGCACCACCCAGCACAGCGCTTCGTGGCCCCATGAAGAGCCCCACCGAAGGTCCCAGTGGGACCGCCCGCATGCGCCACGCACCACCCAGCACACCGCTTCGTGGCCCCATAGGGAGCTCCAACGATACCCACATTGGCACCGCCCGCGTGCGTCACGCACCACCCATAGTACAGCGGTTCGTGGCCCCATATGAAGAGCTCCACCGAAGGTCCCAGTAGGACCGCCCGCATGCGCCACGCACCACCCGCCACAGCGCTTCGTGGCCCCATAGGGAGCTCCACCGAAAGCCCCGGCGCCACTGACCGCATGCGCCACGCGCCACCCAGCACGGCGCTCCGTGGCCCCGTAGGGAGCTCCAGAGAAGGTCCCGGTGCCAGCGCCCGCACGCGCCACGCACCACCCAGCACGGCGCTCCGTGGCCCCGTAGGGAGCTCCAGAGAAGGTCCCGGTGCCAGCGCCCGCATGCGCCACGCACACCCAGCACAGCGCTTCGTGGCCCCATAGGGAGCTCCACCGAAGGTCCCAGTGGGACCGCCCGCGTGCGCCACGCACCACCCGCCACAGCGCTTCGTGGCCCCTTAGGGAGCTCCACCGAAGGTCCCAGTGGGACCGCCCGCATGCGTCACGCACCACCCAGTGCAGCGCTTCGCGGCCCCATAGAGAGCTCCACCAGAAGCCCCATAGCACCGCCCGCGCGCGTCACGCACCACCCATAGCACACCGTTTCGTGGCCCCCTAGGGAGCTCCACCGACGGCCCCGGTGGGACCTCCCGCATGCGCCCCGCACCCACTACAGCGTTTCGTTGCCCCATATGGAGCACCACCGGAGGTCCCAGTGGGACCGTCCGCATGCGTCGCCCCCGCCCAGCACACCTTTTCGTTGCCCCAGAGGGGGCCCCACCGAAGGCCCCAGCGGGGCCGCCGCGTGGCTTTCCCGAGGGCACCGCCAGGACCGCCGAAGGTGAATTACCATCAGCCCTGTCGGCTATGCCAGAGGAGACGGGCGAGTGGCCTCGGCACCTCGAGATGCAGCGCCAGCGACAGAGCATCCACGCGCAGTTCCACCATTACTTGCGCGGGGCTTCCCTGCACGACGACGCCGCGCTAGAGGGGGGGCGATGTAGGTGGGCATGTGCAGTTATATCTTTATCCAGGGGTGCGCGAAGCATTCCTGAGCTTCAACGAGGCTGCGTCCGACGACTGCGTTGCGGGCGCTCCTCAGACAGATGCGCTTCGCATGTTTGCCGTTGCCGAGTCCGCGGTTAGGGAGCGCGACGCCGACATTCTGCCCGACGAAGAGGCGTCGAGGTTGTCGATGGGAAGTCGCAGCAGCCATCCAGGAGGAGCTCACCATCTGCGCCAAGTGCGATTGTTTCGAGAGTCGGCCGCCAGGCGCGTTTTCAAGCGGGTCTCCGGCAGGGGCCAGACGGCAAGACTGTCGGGATCACCCGGCGCCGCGCGTCGTTGAGGGGCTTCCGCGACACGGGCGCCGGCGCCCTGGAGACCGTCGCTGGGGCAGCGAATCGGGCGTTTCAGCGCCCGCTATCCTCCGTAGCGGCGCGTCGCCCTAACTGGGCGCGCGCCACCATTGTTGTCGAGGAGGTGCACTTGCAAGGCGCGCTATGCATTGATGCAGGAGCGAGGCAAAGCAACTCGAGAGGTGAACTTCACCCTGCCACCCGGCAGTGCGTCCATCTTCGGGCAGGTGCCCGGCTATTAGAGCATCGACGAGTGGGCCGAGTGCCTGCGCTGCATTAAGGCGGGCACGGGCTGCGCGGAGGCGCCCCGAGCCATCTCCGTTAGGCTCGCCTGGGTCACGCGCTCGCCTGAGTCCAACGCCCAACCGACCGAGCGGGGCCCGGAGTTTGAGGTCAAGCACGTGACGTCCGGCAGATGTGGTGCCGGCGTCTCGGAGCTATTGTGCTCGCGCTGTCCACGCATGTTAACGAACTGAAGGTCACTGAGCACCGTGAGCACGCCGACCGGCTGAGAGGCCACGTCGAGAGCGTCTTCGGGAGAGATGAACACTGACTACGGCCCGTTCGCCAGCTGCGGAGCGCCCCAGTACCGCAACGCAGATGGCACTGTGTCGCCGCTCGACCAGGACGAGTACATCGACGCTCTGATTTCGATCAGAAACGTCGACTTGGCCAAGGCCATGGCTGGCGAGCTGGCCTGAGGTCAGCTTCCAGGCGTTGTTTCCCTCCTGCGAGCAGCGGCCCATGCCCTGCTCGCCTGGCACCGCGTCGCAGCGTGCATCGTCGCCCTGCAGAGAGCCAGGAACAAGCTGCTTTTTCGACGCGGGATGCAGCTCAATTCCGTCGCGCTGGCCACGCAGAAGATCAAGGCGCGCCTCGTCTTTCTTTCAATGGGGCGCGCCGGGCGACTCAACGCGCGCAGCGACGCGTCCATCGCGAAGGAGGAGGAGGCAGGATGCGGCGCGAGATGGGGCAGTGTACATGCGCCTCGGCATGCGCCGCCGCACTGGCAAACAGGCGCGCCACCGACAGGGCGCAGTGAGCCGATCGCACAAGTTTGCGCGCAGATCCTCACTCGGCTCCGAACAGCTCGCAGCATGCGGCGCAGCACACGGTCGGCAGACGCATCTCCTCACGTTGCGCGGGCTGGTACGCGGCCCCGCCTCTGCCGCGGGGGCCCGAGGTCGCGGGGGGAAGGAGGTTGCGCGGTCTCTGCAGACCTCGTCATAAACGGCACGTCCGTTTTCAGCGCCCTGCTCATGGACCTGGTCCGGCCGCCGTCTGAAAACAGCATGGCTGGCCGCGCGCGGCGGTTAGCCGACCAGCCGGGCACCGTGCAGATCGACGACTTGCAATGGCGCGACTCTCGGGACTTGCTGGCCGACCACATGACCAAGGGCAACGTGGGACTGGCGCTAGTTCTCTGCCAGATCAGCAATGACCACGCCGCGGCGAAGCACAACGACAGGGAGCGGAAGAAGACCTCCCCGAGCTCATAGCATGGCTCATCCACGCAGAAATGAGGAGATGACTCCTGTGACTGCGTCACGAGGTCACAAGGTGTCGGAGAGCGGATGTACTTCCGAGAGCCGCATTGGCCAATTGTGGGTGGGATGCGTGCTCCTACGCACGCGGGCATCCACGTGCGAAATTGACGAGCAGAGTACTCAAGTGAGCGGGCTTGCTCGGGCTGTGTCCGGGCAGCTCCTGGTTGCTTTGGACGGGCTTGCTCGGACTGTGTCCGGGCAGTTCGCGGTGGCTGTGGCAATGCTCCTTAATAGTTGAAAGAGCGTGTTCTACCGCTGCTGGCGGAAAACCGGGGGGTCATTACCGGTTCGAGCCCCCCCGGGGGAGGGGCCCCTTTGGAAAACCGAGGGGGGCCTCTGCCGGTTCGAGACCCCCCCAAGTCCATAATGAAAAGGAGGGGGGGTCACTGCCGGTTCGACCCCCCCCCCTCGAAAACCCGGGGGGGTCACTGCCGGTTCGAACCCCGCCCCCGCCCTCCCCTCGAAAACCGGGGGGGGGGGGGCAGTGGTGGGGGCGGTCGGTGGTGGTGGGGGCAGTAGTGAGGGGACAGCGGGACAGTGGTGGGGACAGTGGGACAGTGGTGGGGACGGTAGTGGCGGGGACTGGTGAAAGCGGTGGTGAGGACAGTGGTGGGACAGCACGGTGGGGAAAGTGGTGGGGACAGTGGGGACAGTGGGACAGCGATGGGGACAGTGGGGACGCTGGGACAGCACAGTGGGGCAGCGGCGTGATCAGTGGGACAGTAGTGGGCACAGTGGGGACAGTGGGACAGTGGTGGGGACCGCGGGGAAAGTGGGGAGAGCGGGACCGTGGTGGGACACTGGCGGGGAGACTGAGGACATTGACACACTGGTGGGGGCACTGGTGGGGACAGCGGGGACAATGGTGGGAACAGTGGGGATAGTGGGACAGTGGTGGGGGCGGTGGTGGTGGGGACAGTGGTGCGGGGACAGTGGGAATGTGGTGGAAACGGTGGGACAGTGGAGGGTACAGTGGTGGTGGGGACAGTGGTAAGGGCGGTGACCAGGACGGCGGTGGGACAATGGGACAGAGGGACAGTGGGGACAGTGGCGGGGACAGTGGGCACAGTAGTGGGAGCAGTGGGACACCTCAGTGGGACAGCGGAGGAGACAGTGGGACAGTGGGGACAGTGGGGATAGTCGGGCAGTGGTTGGGGCCGTGGAGAAAGTGGGGAGACTGGAACCGTGGTGGGAACAGTGGTGGGGACAGTGGGGACGGTGCGACAGAGGTGGGGGCACTGGTGGGGACAGTAGGGACGGTGGTGGAACAAGTGGGGACAGCGGTGGTGAGGACAGTGGCGCTGGGAACAGCAGTGGGGGATGTGGTGCGGACGGTGGTAGGGACCGGGATTCGTTTGCTGGCGGAAAGGGGAGGAGGGGGAGGGGGGTTCGAACCGGCAGTGCCCCCCCCGGTTTTTGAGGAGGAGGGGGGGAGGTCGAATCGGTAGTGACCCCCCCGGCTTTCAAGGGGAAGAGGGAAAGGGCGGAGTCGAGCCGGTAGTGACCCCCCCCCCCGGTTTTCGAGGGGGGGGGGGCTCGAACCGGTAGTGACCCCCCCCCGGTTTTCTGGAGAGGGGTGGGGGGGTTCGAACCGGTAGTGACTTTCCTCTGGTTTTCTGGGAAGGGGGATTCGAACCGGTAGTGACCCCCTCCTAGTTTTCCGAAGGGGTGGGGGGTCGAACCGGTAGTTTACCCTCTCGGTCTTTTTTTTTTTTTTTCTGGAGGGGAGGGGGGGGGGGATTGGGGATGAGGGGGGGGCCGGGGGAGGGGGGGAGGGGCCCAGCAGGGGGGGGGGGGATTTTCGGAGGGGGGGGACCCCTGGGCTCCGGAGGAGGAGGGGGGGAATTTTCCATAGTAAAGCTGCGGTGGATCACGTCATCTCTACTAGCAGTGCAGCATTTTTCGGGTGGGGGATAGGTTAGCCTGCTCCGGCTACTCCCACGGACTCTGGCAGGAGTACCCTCACCCCTGCCACTGGCGCGGTTAACGCCGTGGGGGGGCCAATGCGCCCTTGGGATGGAGTGAAGTCCGCCAACCCAGGGAAATGCCGAACCCAGGTGAATGCATCCTTTTGCGGACAGGCAACTTTTTATGAGAAGGGCGGTCAGCAGAACCCTTTCTGCAGTTGTCTGCTGGCTAGTACAGAGCACGACGGACTCGTTTGAACACCAGAGTCGGCTGGTAGGTCCTCCTGCTTTTCCCGCTTCTCGCGTTGTCCCTGCCGCTGTCGCGTTGGATCGCCAGGATCCTTTGCCACGCCTGCTCTACATCTGTTCTCGCGCAATACATCCGCCAACGGAAACAATCTTTGATTTTCAACATACTCATTTCTAGGTTCCTTCCTCCCCCTCGCTCCCCCTTCTCCCCATCCCTCTCCCCCCGCCCCCTGTTCCTCCTCTTTCATTATCCTTAGTTTCGTCCATCCCTCTCCCTTCCCCCCTCCTCCTCGAGGCTCCTCCTCCTCCTCCTCCTCCTCCTCCTCCTCCTCCTCCTCCTCCTCTTCCTCGTCCTCCTCTTCCCTTTTCTCCCCCCTCCTCCTCCCCGTTTTTCCTCCTCCTCTTCCTCCTCCTCCTCCTCCTCCTCTTCCTCCTCCTCCTCCTCCTCCTCCTCCTCCTCCTCCTCCTCCTCCTATCCAGCGTTCGGCGCTGAGGGCATTGAATATTCCACGGGCGCTGCGATCCCTCCTCGTCTTTCTCTCTCTCTCTCTCTCTCTCTCTCTCTCTTTGTTTCTTGTTGTTTCTCTTTTTTGTGTTATCTCCTTCTCTCTCTCTCTCTCTCTTTTCTCTCCCTCCCTCTCTCTCTCTCTCTCCCTATCGCAACCGCTGAACGCGTCGCCTGCGCGGTCGCAGCGACGCGCCCGGCCAGCACGCGCGAGCGCGCGCCACGGGGCCCCAGCGCGGGACCTTTACCCTTGTCCGAAAAGGGGGGGGAGGCGGGAGGGGGAGGAAGGCCGCCCAGATTCTCTCGGGGTTAGACAGACCTCCTATCCTGACACGTCGATTAAGGAATTGGCCGTTCTCGGTTCGCGAGAGGGCGTCGCGGCCCTCATTTTTGCGGGTCCAGGTCCGTCGGTTTCGGTCCCAGGCCGTTTTTACTAAAGGGAGGTTTGTCCACCGCCGATTCTCGAAATTCTCCAGAGGCCTCCGAGGAAAGGGGAGGGGGAGGGCGGCGGGGCCATCCAACCGCAGGAGCGCCACATGCCGTATAAGTTCAACCTTGCCAGTAGCGCCGTACACGGAGCACTTTGCCGGTAGTGTTGTACATGATGGCGACGTTGTTGCCTACAGCGCCACTGAAACGGCGTGTTATTTTGTGTGTAACGGTGTTCCGGTATACCATTGTCCGTAGCGCTGAAGTCGTACGCAATTGTTTCCCAGCTTCAAGCAGACCGGTCTCGCTTCCGTACGTCGAGTGCGTGCACCCTGGCGTTGCTCAGCGTCCAGGTGAAGGACACCGCGTCCCCGACTCGACTCGAAAGTCGCCCACGCATCGCAATCAAACTCACGTTGTGCCCGCGCGTTCCTTACGAAGCCGTCGTCGTTTCGGCGGTTGACCTATTTGACGCGTCCTGGTAGCATTTGTTGGTGGCCTTGGTGGCCCTTTTGGCGGATCTCGTCGCTCTGCTTGCGGCCCCCGCAGCGCAGCATCAGCTGGTGGATCTCGCAGCTCAGCTGGTGGTCCTCGTAACCCTGCGCGTGGCCATTGTAGCCCAGCTTGTAGTCCTCTTCCTCCTCCTCCGTCTTTTCTTCCTCCTCCTCCTCCCATCGCCTCCTTTCATTTCCTCTCTCTCTTCATGTTCCTTCGCCCCTTCCCCAGTCACGCATCGAGGTTTTGCTTGGGGTTCTTCAGTGTTCTGGTGGGGCTCCAGAAAACTCCACAGCCGTCTGGGGACCTCGAGGATCCGGAGTCATCCGGGGACCTCCAGAAACCTCCTGCCCTATGCATCGGAGCATCCATCCTCCTCGTTCTCTGTTTCCTCCTCCTGCTCAAGTCCTCGCAGCCTGTAGGTCCCTAGCCGGGACCAGCTGATTTCGAATTCGCCAATTTCCTGCTACCCATACCGCTGCGAGACAACACTTCTGGACGCTTCTGGGGAGAGCCTGAGAACTAGGAGGACTACAAAGAAGCAGGATGAGGATTTAGAGGGGCATGAGAGAGCAGTTGATGAGTACTACGGAGGGAGAGCAACAGTGGGATCAGGACAAGGAGCATGCGCAGGAGGAGCATGTGCACGAGGAGGAGGAGTAGGAGGAGGAGGAGAAGGAGGTGGAGGAGGAGTAGGAGGATGAGGATAAGGAGGAGGGGGGGAGGGGGAGGGGAAGGAAGATGAGAGTGAGGGGGAGAAGGTGGAGGCGAAGACGGAGTTGGAAGACATGGAGGATGAGGAGCGGCAGGGGGATCGGGAGTTGGACGAGGACTGCGAGAAGGATTATCAGGAGGAAGAGGCGCAGGAGGAGGAGGAGGAGGAGGAGGGATGAGGAGCGGCATGAGGAGGATAAGACGGATGAGGAGGTGAAGGAGATGGTGCAGGAGGAGGAGGAGCGGCAGGAGGCGGAGCACGGAGGAGTAGGAACACGCCCGCGGTGCGCGGGAGTCTTGCCTCGCAGCCCCGTGGCGATACCGTGCATGGACCCGGGAATCTGGACGCTCACGCCGGAGGACTTCTACTCCAACTACCGTCGCGTCGTCCTCGCCGCCGGGGCGGTGGCCTCTTCGCCGGCCGCCTCCGCCCAGCTGCCCGTGGTCGCCTCCGCCGCGGACGAGGCCGGCGGCCGGGCCGCGCCCAGCGCGGCCGAGCTGAGGGCGCTGGCGTGGCGCGCGGAGTCCTCCGGGCGCGGCCCTGAAAAGGGGGCGGCCTCGTCGACCGCCTCGGCGCGGCGGCGCCGCCCGGCGCGGTCGTCGCTCGAGGCTTCCGGGCGTGCCCGTCGGGTCTGAAGGAGGCTCCCCGGCCTTCGGGTATGCGCCTCGGCGAGGAGCGTCCCGCGGGGGTGCCCGACCCTCCCCGGAGGCCGCCAGAGGCCCGAGCTCTGACCCGAGGGCCAGGGCCCCGCCGTCCTGCACAGACAGGGCGTTCGAGGACGGGCCTCGCCGTCGGCGCATCTCGCCCTCGGCGCACCTTGCCTGCGGCGGGCGCCGGGGGGGGGAAGGCCGGCGGGCGCTGGCGGGAGGGATGGAATCCGGGGCGGGTCCGCGAGCGGAGGGCCGAGGGCATCTGGCGGAAGTGAAAGCGAGACGTCAACATGTTGAGGTTCGGGGCTTCCCGGATCGGCCATTTCGGGCCCAGGGGGCCCACATAGCACTCGGGGCTGGACAGAACCCCCAATAGTGACACGTCGATTAGTGAATTGTCCGTTTTCGGTTCTCGAGAGGGCGCCGTGGCCGTCAGTTTCCAGGCTTTCGCCCGCCAGATTTGGGCCCGAGGTCGTTTTCACTAAACCACGTTTTGCTAAAGGGGGTTCTGTCCATCCCCGAAGCACGTCCCACGGCGCGGAGATGTGCTCGAAAGGTGGGGCCCGGGGTCCAGAGGAGGCGGCGGCGCCGGCGCGGCCGCTCTAGGTCGAGCGCCTGTTGGATGCCAGTGTCGACCCTGGACGCCCAAAGAACAGATCGGGCGTTGCCAGAGGCGGGCCTGGCCCACGGTGAGCCCAGCTTTTCCAGGGAAGCCCAGGTGGCCTCCAGAGCACCCCTCACGAGGCCCAGACGGCCCCGTGGGGCTCCAACACGGCACGGAGAGCTGTCTGCACTTTGGGCAAGGGTCATTTCTGGCAACGTACCCCGCGGCGCGAGATTCGTCCGAAAGATAGGGTCAATAGCCCGCGGGGGACAGAGGATCGTCCAAGGTTGAGCGGCTCACGCGGTGTTGTGCAACATCTTTCCCCAACCGTTAGCGTGTCAGGCTCCTCTATTCGCTTCTCATCGCTCACCCCACTGGCTTCCTTGCTTCTCCCGCCGCTCGCCGCCGCTCGCTGCCGCTGCTTCCTTCGCCTCTAGGTGACCTGGTGCAGGGGCATCTCTGCTGCTGCTGTGCTGCATACCCGGATGCAATGTACCACGTTGATGTTGACCGAACTCTCGGTCGACGTTCGCAATCCTTTGCATGCCCGAGGTGGATGTCTTGGGGAGCGTGCAGGCTTCGGCTAGATCTTGGAATTCCTCGCCTCGCCTCTGCAAGCGCCGCCGACGTCAAGCGGGTATTCTCGTGCGCACGCGTATGCGGGTCGCAGCGTTTGCCGTCATGGGCGCGACACGCGCACGGCGTCGATTCTTCAAGGGCAGGAGCCCGCCGCTTGCCGCGCGGAGGCGCACCTCTGACTCGGCAGGCATGTCGTTTCGTCGGTCGTGTCGTCGTGTCCCTTCTCCTACTGCTCCGTCCTCCTCCCTCCTCTCTCTTCCCCTCCGAAGGCGACGAAGGAGACGAGGACGAGGACGACGACGACCCCTTGGCCTTTACCGGGGGGCGTCATGTCTAGAATATAGAAACGGTAACCGAACCTTGCCGATGATAGCGCCCCAGGAGGCCAAAAAGGCATACAAATCGTCAAACACGTTTCACGCCGTTCAAGACCTTGGACCTCGGACCCGCGACGACGAGGACGCCGTCGACGACGGCGTCGCCGCTGGCAGGCTGCGCTGGGTCTCGGACGCCTGGCAAAGTGCGACGCGGACTTCAAGTTGCTGATCGTCCGGGCGGAGGCTGCGGCACGTCGGCGTCGCCCACGGCCGTGCGATGTCGCCACCGCCGCCGTCGTTAGCATCGTCGTCGTCGTCGTCGTCGTCGTCGTCGTTGCGTCGTCGTCATCGTCGTCGTCGTTGCGTCGTCTTCATCGTCGTCGTCGGGGGCGGCCGCGTCGCCACGGCTGGATTTCCGTCGAAGTTTCGGAATGCATCCCAGGAGAGGTTCGGGGCGTTGTCGTCGTCGCCGGCATCGTTGTCTCCCAGGTCTTTGCTCTCGGCTTCGTCAGCGTCGCCCTCCTGCGTCCTCCCTCCTTGGGACTCGGCCCGGTTCGCAGCGCGGTGCCGACGTTGGCGTAACAAGTGCCCACCAGACGGAGAAGCCCGCGCTGTGCGATGAGAACCCCCGCGCTCCCCGACCTCAATTCAGAAAGCGAGGATACCTGCGATGTCGAACTATGGACGTTTACTGTGCCGATGCTGTCACTCCTACAGCGGCAGCGAAGGCAATATTGAAATGTGTGGCCCGGGGGTGGTCCCGTCGAAGCACCACTGTTAGGATGGGGGCGTTGGTGTACCGACAGCGATCGATGTTGATGATCTTTTTTGTTGCGACGTGTCGGACACGCCATCCTCCTGGCGGGCCGTCGACATCAGGAGCACCTTTTACAGGAGGAAAAGAAACACACAGACACAATTAATCCTCGATTATCCAGAAAATATGGGAAAATATGGGAAGTGGTGGGGAAGACAAAAACCCAGAAACTATAGGAAAATATGGGGAATCTTTTTATTTGTGTGTATTTATTTGTGTGTCCTGGGGCCCCTTCAATTTTACTCGGAAGGAGCCTGGCGTTCTTCGCGCAGGTGCCTTTCAGGCCCGAGCAGAAGAAGGCAGCCTGCACTTTATAGGAGAAGCAAGGGCCGCGCCAAGGGGGGAAGGCAGACGGGCCGGACCCCTGCAGAAGGCTCAGAAGGCCTCTGGCCTGCTGAGGAGCTCTCTAAGCCTGTTTCGAAGCCTCTCCACCGTCTGAGCAGACTTGCCCCCTCCCACTTCCCCCCTCGGCGCGCCGCCGATCACTTCTGTCTCTCTCGGCCTCCTCATCGTCGTCGTCACACTGATCCTCCTCTCGCCTGCTGCTCTCCGCCCTTCACTCCTGATCCTTCCTTTCCTGCTCCTCCCTCCTCCTGAGAGTGCGATGGGCACAGCATTGAGCTGTCAACCCCGCGGCCGTTTTTCATTTAAGGTCCGCTTGCTGCGCCGTGAGGATGCACTCGCCGGCCACCACGCGGCAGAGGCGCATGCACCGCGGCCCGCTGGGCAGCCTCGCCGCGTTCTACCTCGTAGTCTCGAGCGGGCTGGCGGCGCTTTCGGCCTGGACGCTCCGCGGGGCGGTGTCGTCCGCCGCGGCCTCGGAGCGTGCCGCAGGTCGCGAGGAGGCGTTCCACTGCGTGCCTCCGCAGCAGGTGTGCCATTGCCACTGCAAGGTGGACGCTTCGCCGGCGGGGGCATCACCGCTCAGCCTCGAAACGCTCGCGGGCGCAGTGCTTGGGATTGCGTTCTCGGCGGTGCAGGTGTGAAAGCGTGCAGCCATGGCGCTTGTGGGCGCACGTGGTGCCGGAGTGGGAGCGGGCCCAGCACCCCTGGTGAGAGGAACGGACGGTTGGCCGTTGCCGACGGGCCTGTGGGCGACCGCACTCCGAAGGCTGCTCGTGAAGTACGTGGGCGCGGGCGAGGGGTTGTTACACGAGCGGTTTCGGACTGGCATGGTTGGAGGGGTGGCAGCGATTGCGAACCCCGACTACGAGTACGATGATAACTTTGACGACGCTGCTACGTTCGAGCTGGCAAGGCTCCTCGGTGACAGCGGGGAGCTGCTGATCGGAGCGGCCAACGCGCAGCGTATCGTTTCAGGGTGCCGCCCAACGACGTGGAGTTTGCACATTTGCTGAGCGAAGTGCAGGCGGTGATGGCGCTTCGTCCCCCGGCCCCCGTGGCGGGCGCCGCCCAGGCCGCATGGGGCCGGGGGGGCAGGAGGGGCCGCATTGGTGGCCGCGGGCACGCCTGTTGCCGTGGCGCCGTCCGCGGCGCCGAACTGGGTATTCGCCAAGCGCGTCGACGGGCACAGAATCGGGGAGATTGTGGCGCTTGCGCCGGGGGCGGTCGTATTCAACGATGCGGACTCGATGGTGCTGCCGGGGAGGGCGGACCCCAGAACTGACAGCTTTTAAATTTCCAGGGTGAGATCGGCAGCTTCTGCGAGGAGAAGATCAAGTGGTGCAGGGCCGCTACCGCCACTCCTGGCGGTGACCAGGCAATCTGCGACGACGTGAGGACGCTCTCCGTGCTGTACGGTCCCCACGGTCAGACGAGGAGGGAGTTCCGTCGCTCGGTGCAGGAGATGACGATGACGGACTTCGACGACTTCCATTTCTCTGGGCCGCGAACGACGGAGTGGCACTGCAAGGGGGCGATCAAGCTGGCTGAGGGGCCCAGGGCCCAGCACAGCAAGTGGCTCGCGGAGGCGAAGATCCCCGACGGAGACAGGTCGATCCATGAGGGCGCCAACCTCGCGTTGGTGCAGGAGCTCGCGGTGACACGCGACGGCCTCGACATCATGAACCCGGCGTGCACGGAGGCGGCGCCGCGGAGGCGTCAGCTCAGCGCGGGGGCGCGCCACGCGAACCCCTCGGCGCCGAGCCACGACGGGGCGGCCCACTACATGGACGACGGGCCGCGGGCAGGAGGGGCGCAGGCGGCGCCCGCGCTCGCGGCCCGCGGCTCGGAAAGGCTCCGAGCCGAGACGGCGATCGCCAGTTCAGACCGCATCGCGCGCGCCGGGGTTTCGTCCTCGGGTTTCTTCCCAGAGATGGGGGCGACGCCCAGCCGCTCGCAGGGCGTCTTCCCGCTGCCGCGGCTTGCTGCTCTGGAACTCGTCCGAGGGCAGCGCCTGCGCGGGGCGACGGAAAGGCGGCCATTGCGCCGACTGGCCGTCGCGGTGCAAGTCAACTCGCGCGTCGACTCGCTCAATCTCATGCACTTCGGGCCCCGCGATTGGCCTGCCCCTCCGGGCGCCAGTGACCTTGCGAGCCTGTCGCAGTGCCAGCGCGCTGTTCCTGGGCATCTATTGGGTCGCGTTCGCGAGCTGGGCCCGAGGCCCACCGGTCTCGCCCGCTCAGGAGCGTCGAAGGAGCTCCGAGCTCAGCGGCCCTCTTACGCAGGAGATCTTGGGCAAGGGGCCCAGGCCCCCTATGGTTTTGCATCGTTTGGCTCTTCCCGAAGTTGGCCTCCAACCTGTAGGTGCGATCTCGGTCTTGGCAGGCGCGCCTCTAGAGTGCCTTCGTGATTTCGAAGAACGAATGCTCGCCAGCGCAGCTTCGTGGAGCGCGCTCGGCGAGCAGGCGGCTCGCGCCCCCGCCTGGGCGGGCCTTGTCCTGTCGAGGCTAGACGGCTTCGGTAGGCCTGCCGCCGGCTCGGCGCCCAGGGGTCTCGCAATAGTTCCGCGCCGCCCCGCGGCCCGCATCGGGGCCTCCAGCGTTTTGAGAAAATCTGGGAAGCAAAGACTAGCTCTGGATGGCGCGCAAGTGCCATCTGCGCTTCGCGCCGCCGCTGCGCACGCAGCTGGGGGGTTGAGTTCCTCATGCGATCTGGGGCCCCCCGCGGGGGGCGTTTTTGCGTGGGGCGAAGCCGACGTCGAGGATTGTTTTGAAGAGCGTGGAATTGCCGAGGGTTTGTTTGATTTCTTTGCCTTGGAGACTGGTATATATATATATATATATATACATATATATGGATGTATATATATATATATATACGCCAGTTGAGTTTGATGGGCCTCAGTCGGGGGCACCTGGGGCGTTTTGACGACGGGGGGCGCGTCTCGATGCGTCTTCGGGCGCCACCGATGAGCGTCGCGCGGTCTTTGCGGTCAGCGCAGGGCGCCGCGCCCAAGTTGCTCTGGAGGGGGCGCCTGGCGCAGGAGTGCCCCTCGACGGGCGCCCAGCCCCCGGCGCGGTCGAAGTTGGCGCGGCCACGCCGGCGCTGCTCAGCTTCGCGACAGAGTTCAGTGGAGAATGGAGGATGGCGGTTTTTCGATCCACGATGTCCCGGGATTTGATCTCGTCGCCCGCGCGCTGGCATCTGTCCTGGTCGGTGGCCCAGGTGCGCTCAAGTCGGGCCTGTCCCTCTACAAGAGGAAGATTGAGATGTAGTCAGAAATGGCATGGGTGCGATTGATTGAATATTTGCGAACAGTTTTAAGTATGGTTGATTTCCCTTAAAACAAATCTCCGAAAGTTCCCCTGGCGGGGGGCGGGCCCGACTTGATGGCGCGCTGCGGCCCGGCCCCGAGAAGCTGTGGAAGTTGACCAAGGCCTTCGAGTGGATGAGTCAGGGGGCCATCGTGATTAGGAAGGTGGTGGACAGGCCCCTTGGGCATTACATATACGTCGCAGCGCTGAGCCGAAGTGCCTTGCCCGTGCTCCGTCACCTCGATGACTTCGTTGCGCCGATTGGACAGCCAGAGCGACTCTGGCCGAGCTGCAGCAAGTCACGTCGTGTCATCGTCGGTCTCTCCCCGGCATGTGTAGCCGACCTTCGTCAGAGTTAGAACGGGGCAGTCACGCGCGCGGGCGCCCCCCCATTAGGCCGCGACGCTTGCGAGCGTGCTCTCGATGTTCATGCCGCGCGTGATCTGGGAAAGTGGAACGAGAGGTGGCGCTTCAAGAGGCTCGCCTCTGACCAACGGGCGCCGCGCTTGAGGGCTCTCGGGCTTGACCCCCTGGAGGACATCGCCAGCGCCAGTCGTCTCGGGGCCCTTGGGGTCGTCCGCGAAAGGTAGTCGGAGCGATGCCGGCGATCGGGGTTCTTCTCATCGATGCAGCGAGCCCCATCGAACGGAATGTCGCGGACAAGCCGTCTCGCAGGCTCTGAGGGAAGGGCCGTCAGCGCAGCGCCAGTGCCGCTGCAGGGCGCGTCGGAGGTCCGCCAGCTGACTGCGCGGCAGAACTGAGCTCGCGGGCTTCTCGGACTCATGTTTTCGGCGCCAACGTCTTCGAGGGGCCTCCCGAGCTCGAGAGATGGCGGGGCGAGGGCGACCGCGGCGCGGGGGTCGAGTGAGCCGAGGTGCCCGGCCCGCGCGGGGAGGCCGGCTGCGACGGAGCCGGCGCCCGCCGTGCTGGGCAGCCGCGGCGCCTTGGCCACGGCTGGCGCCAGCGGCTGGCCGCAGAGGCGGAGTCCCCGAGGGAAATGCCGCTGGCGTGGCGGGGGAAGAAGTCTAGGCTGGATGGGGCGGGGCATCTCGGCACGGGCCACAGGGGACTACAAGTTCTACCTGAAGGCCTTCAAGGATTTCTGCGCGGAGAGCGGGCTGCCGTCGGGGATCAGAGCTGGGGCGGGTCTCGCTCTGGTGGATTACTTAGACGCCGAGTTCCTCGGCGGGCACGGGCCGTCGCCGAGGATGAAGAAGATCGCAGCTGTGCATTTCGAAGGGGCGATGGCCAAGACCAGGCAGACTTGGCCGTTGGTCCGCGCTCGGGGAGCGCTGAGGGGATGGGGGAGGGATGCGCTGCCGACGGGCCTCCTGCCGCTGCCGTGGATCATCACGGCGGCGATTGCCAACTGCGTGGCGTGCCGAGGCAGGCTGGACATGGCTCTCTTCCTCTCGGTGCTGTTCGCGTGCTACCGGAGGCCGTCGGAGGGGCTCACCTTGCGCGCGAAGGGCGCGGTTCCTCCGGCTGTGGGGGCAAGTCGCGGATTCAAGCATTACGCCGCGATCATCATATGCCTGGGCGAGAAGGTGCCAGACAAAGCGGGGGCGTTCGACAACTGTCTTCTGCTCGAGCAGGGCTATCTCGGACACCTCGGGGTGGCGCCTCGTCGTCGGGCCCAGGGTCGAGACCGGGCCGCGACGCGGTTCGACTTCCAGTTGAAGGGCGCGCTGGAAGAGGCCAACGCGATCAGCTGGCAGCTCGGCATCAAGGAGAGACTGTCGCTCCACCAGTGCCGTCGCGGGGGGGCCGCCATCACCTCGTCGGCAAGCCGCGCGACGGGGCGACCGCGGTGGCGCGAGGGCGGCGGCAGACGGAGTCGTCAGCGCGCCGGTGCGCTAAGATGGGGAAGGTCCAGAGCCCGCGTGCCGACCTCTCCTTGCGCGTGCTAGAGGCGCGCAAAAAGTGCGCTGTCAACCTCGACGGCGCGCTGACGGAGCAGAAGTCGCCGCTAGTGCCTCCGCGAGGGTGGGGCCCCCAGCGCGTGGCAGAGCGCGCCGCCGCGGGGCGTTCGAGGTCCCCCCGGGAACGGGGCGTCTCAGCCAGGTCCTGCGGCGGGAAGGAGTGAAAGCTGCTGCCCTGGACATCGATGTGGGAGCTGATGCACTGAAGGAGTCGGTTGAGCATCGGCTCCTGGTTTTGATTTGTAGCAAGAGGGTCGGCTTTCTTTGGTTTGTGCTGCCGGGCTCGTCGTGGGAAAGGTGGCCTTGTGCCGTTTCGCGGGGAAGATGTTCATATCGTGGATTTGCCGAACCTCAGTGGAATGGGTGCCGAACAAGTCCGACCTGGTAACCATCTTCTGTTCTGCGTTGTACATTGTGCCGTGCCGCCGCTAAGTTTGGAGCGCCGTGGGCCAGTGGGAATCCTCGGACCAGAAGAGCATGGAAAGCACCAGCCATGAAGAAATTTATGAGGACAAGATACTTCATGGAAAAATCGAGGCCCCTGGTTTCGTGCACTTCGGTTTCTGCTTGTGTTGTGAAACGTGGAAAATGGTGCGTCTTTATTGGTCCTGGGTATCAATTTAGACGAGGTCGGGGCCACTTGCAAGATGAAGGCTGGCTTGTGTTCTTCGTACTGGCTGCCGCCATTCCGTCCTCAAAGGTAAAGATGAGTCGGGTCGGTGGCTCACCCTCTTTGCTCAGCCCTACCCTCAGAAACTGTGCGCCGGTCTTGCTAATATCTTTGCAAACGCTGCAACACTGCAGTCCGCAGAGTGGATAAGGGAGATCTCCAGGTCGCGAGCCTCCTCACGCCCTGCGCGGAGTCCCTCAGACAAGGGACGTTCCTTGGCCTGCGCTACTTCTTTTTCTAATTTGCTGACGCGCGCTTGCGCCGTCGGAAAAGTTGACTGGCCAAGGGGGGGGCAATGCTCATGATAGTTCGATGGGCACAGCATTGAGCTCACAACCCCGCGGCATTTTTTCTCTTAAGGTCCGTTTGCTGCACCATCCCTAACTCCGACCTGCCTCCCCTCCGTTTTTTGTCAACTGTCCTGCGGGGGGGAGATCTCCAGGCCGCAAGCCTCCTCGCGCCCCGTTCGGAGTTCCCCTGACAAGGGACGTTCAGTGGCCTGCGCTGCTTTTCTCTCTAACTTGCTGGCGCGCTTGCGCCATCAAAAAAGTTGGTTTGGCCAGGGGGTACTGGTCATCCTCCTCCTTTTCCTCCTCCTCCGCGTCCTCTTCGAGCGCTCGGACTTTTCTCCCCGTGCGCCTTACCTTGCTTTGCCTTGCCTTACCTTACCTCTTCCTCCCTTTACCTCCTACCTCGCTCCTTTCCTCACCTCCAATATCTTCCTTCGTTCACGTCGTCATCCTCCCTCTCTTCTTCCTCCTAATCACACATGCTGTTTGTTCCTTCCCAGCCGCCCCAACGCCGATATTTTTCACGACTTGGGCCCCTGCAGTCTTCATAGTCCCACCCGGCCCCGTTGCCCTGGGTCTGTCGCCGTGGGTTGGTTGCAGTTAGCGGCCCCAGGGCCCAGCAACAGGCCAGCGGGGGCCTCAACCGGGAAAGCGTGCCCGTCATGTTTTCTGTGGCTCCAGAGCGGAGTGAGAAGCTGAGGGGGCCTTGGGCCACGACAGCCTCCAACATGCCGTCGGTTCGTTTCTCTTCTCCTCTGTCCCTCCCCGCCGCCGTGCAGCACTGCCTGCCGGGCGCCGGCGGCTCGTGACCGCAATAGTGGGCACGGCGAGGAACCAGCATCGAACCATGGCCAAGATCAGCATCCCGGCCCGCCTTTCTCTCCTCCCCAGACCTCGGACGACACATGTGTTTCGCAGCGTGGCTCTTCGGAGATCTGAACCTTTTCCCCGCAACCAGTTTCTCATCTTGGGCAGTTTTGTCGAATGCCCTGGGGCCCCAGTAAGGGCCTCCAGAGGACGAAAACCACCTAGTGATTTTTTGGAGGTCTATGTCCGTAACCGTGGCCGTCCTGGGTCAAGGTAAGGCTCCCCGCTGGAGCGGCGCGGCCACCCCGCGGCCATGGCGGGGCAGGCCTGTGCCGTGTGCGGCGCCGCGGACGCGCCCGCCGTCTGCTCGGGCTGCCGGGCGGTGCGCTACTGCGGCCCGGCTTGTCAGCGCGCGGCATGGAAGGCGGCAGGGGCCGACCAGACCCTCACGGTGATTCGAAGATAGGTCCTTGAGGGATGGGGTCCTGAGGACAGGATCGAGCTTCCAGGCCGAATCTTCACCGATCAAGGCCTCCCCCCTTTGTGGCCTTATTTCTAAGGACCCACCTCTGAAGTGCTGACTCAACTCTCAACCTCTACCCTCTTCGCCCAGAACTCCCCAGATCTCAGACGACCTGGCTTGTTCTCAATCGCTGCGCCTTTCCTGAAATTCGGCCTCGCTGGGTACCACTACTGGGCCCCGTGCCCCAGGACCATCAAGAACAGGCCCCGGGCCGAAAAAATGCCAGGTTGAAGGGGTCGGGACCTGGGGGCCGCACATTGAACGTCTTCGTCATCGGACGTCTGGGTCGGCATCCGCCCGACGCGCCCGCCGCTTGGCAGATATCTGCCGCGGCGCGGCACCCACCACGCGGAAGGCGCGGGAGGGTGGAGGTCCAGGGAGGCGCCCAGCAAGGCCCGGGGCTGCGGACAGGCAGCGTCCTGGAGGGAGCCCAGGCTGGCATCAACGCAGAGGAGGGCGATGTGAGATCAAGGTAGTTGGCCTTCGGGAGGCCCCCTCGTCGCCACAGCTGGACGCAGCTCGGAAATCTTGTGTGTTTGGGAGCAGTTCGGGGACCGGTTTTGAGCTGCCGTTGTCTAAATGCGCCCTCCTTCAGCAACAGGCCCCCCCCCCGGGCAATTAGCCAGGAGGTGTCTCAACGCACCCGCGCGGCCTCCAGCGGCGTCCCCAGGTCGCTGCGCGCCCCACGCTTGTTGAGACCGCCCCAGGGCTCCCCTGGGGGCCTGTTGATGCCAGTCAGCGCTGCCTCCTGGGGCTGCCTGCGCGCAGCCCCAAGTCGTGTCAGCAGCAGGGTGCAGCCAAAGCTCTGTTCTGTGCAAATGTCCTGGACCGCTCCCGAGTTCTCTTTCGTTTTGCGTTCGCTCTGGTGCCCACCGTGAGTCAACGCCAGAGCGCTGACTGGGGGGGCAGCATCTCGGACCCTCCTTTCGCTCCGAGCGCGCAAAGAGACGTCTTGGCCGGCCTGGCAGGCGGGCCACAAGAGCGAGTGCGCCGCGCTCGCGGCGGCGTCGGCGAACGAGCCGCACGGCGCCTCGAGCCAGCCCACAGCGCAGCGCGCGGAGACGACGCCGCTGCAGGCGGCGACGCCGGCGAAAGCCCGGCCGGCTCCGCCAGCCGAGCTGGCGTCCATGCGGACGGTTCAGGCGCCGCCCCGTGTGGCCGCGTCGCTGGAGGCTGGGGCCAAGGCAAAAGCTTTGGATTATTCGAAGTTCGACCAGATAGACGACTCGGACGACGAGAAGCTTGTGCCAACCAGGGTGGGTATCGACATTCCCCTGGGGAAGCCCCGGGAGCAGATGTCGCGGTCAGAGTACGACAACGTGTGGCATATGCTGCTCAGGCGGAAGGACTTCCCATTCACCCCCGCGCCCGACCTGAACCGAATGTGGGGATTCTATAAGCACGGCGGCATGGACGAGTCGGCGCTGTTCGACCAGGCCTGTGAGCTGCTGGGGGAGCTGCCGTGTCGGCTCGGCGCCCAGGAGTTTAAGGCTATCGCTTACAAGCTCACCAAGAAGCTGGAGAGCGAGAGCCGGGAGGACGAGGCTCGGATGTGGTCCATCATTTGCATTTGTCGCTTTCCGCAGGACCCGGACTCGTTCTACAACCAAGGGGTTCTGCTCAGCAAGCAGGTCGACAAGGCCAAGTTCGGCGGCTCGCCCACGACCTACCTGCCCAGCGTCATCTCTGCCGACTCCAAGTCCGTGCCGACGGAGCAGTACTGCGCCGTGTTCTCAAGAGCGGCAGTGGGCTACTACCGGCGGTGCCTGAAGGTCGACCCCAAGCAGCGCCCCGCGTACATCAACCTCATAGGCAGCCTGGAGCGCAACGAGCCCAGAGGCTGGTACGACGAGGTGCACGAGGTGGCAGCACAGGCCGTGAAGCATGGGATCTGGTACAACACGTGGCAGCGCCCCCCCCACTTCGTGCCCTCGCTGGACGCACGGCCGTGGCACGACGCTTCGACGTTCGACATGTGTCGAGCACTGGAGGAGAGCTACCCCATCATTCGAGCCGAGTACGATGCGTACGTCAGCAAGCTGGCCAACCGCAAAGACTGGGACGATTCGGACACCACTCCCGGGCTGGGCGACGTGGGGGGGCGCGACGGTGCGATACACGACGGTGGCTTGAGGAAGTCGGGCCGCTGGCAGGAGGTCCCGCTGCTCACCAACTGCACCATCAACAGGGAGTACTGCGAGCAGTTCCCGGAGACCGTGAGGGTGCTTCAGACACACTGCCGCGACGCCGGGGGGCTGGCCTTCTGCGGCGGCGGCGACGTCATCTTCAGCGTGCTGGCTCCGGGCACGAGGCTCCGGCCGCACTGTGGCCCCAGCAACTCGCGCCTGACGTGCCACCTGGGCATTCGGGTGCCCAAGTCGCTGGAGCAGGGCTGCCACTTGCGAGTGGGCGGCGACCCCCCGCGTGGCTGGCAAGAGGGCAAGTGCGTTGTCTTCGACGACTCCTTCGAGCACGAGGTGGTCTACCCTGAGGCTGGCCACGGCGAGCCATACCCAGGAAATCGCGTGGTACTGCTAGCCAACTTCTGGCATCCTGATTTCGAGTTCAAGAACGACCCCGAGTGGAGACAAAGATCCGACGAGGCGCTGGCAAGCGTCGACGTGGAGACCCTGCCTCAGACGGCCATGATGAGGGCCGGCTGAGCCAGCATTTCAAAGCTGGCTGCAAGCGTCGGCGCAGATAACAGAGGTGTGTGAGGCTCGCCGGTGTGCTTGCGCCGCCTGCTCAGGGTCCAACCTTACCCTCCTCCGCCCTTCCCCTTCCTCTTTCCTCCTACTGCGTTCTCCCTCCTGCCTCCCTCCCCTGCCTCAGCACACCTCGCCCTCATTGCCCGCCTTCCTCCCTCGTCTCCCGTCTCCTCTTCCTCCCCTGCTCATCTCCTCCCGCCCTCGCTTCCTCTCCCCCTCCCTGTGCCCGTCTCCTGGCCCCCCTTTCTCACCTGCTGCAATCGAGTGCGAGGCTGCGAGGGGGCCTGGCGACACATGTTGGCCTCCTGCTACTGGTCGCCCCTTATTGGTTGCTTCTGGCTGCAGCTGCTGCGAATAGAGGCCCCGCCAGGCTCAGCTTCGCAGAGAGGGCCCCCACCCAGGGTTGGACACGTTGCTTCCCCGGGCAAACCCAACAACCAGCCTCTCACTCGTCCTCGTTGTCCGGCCCTCCCTCCGCATTCAACTTGCCTTGCACCCCACGCCCCTCCGCAGCGCATTACAGCCCACGCCCCATCGACAAACCGTTCAAGGACAGAAAATTCGACGCGGGGATCTCCATGTGTGCATCGCAGCTCCTGGCACCCCCTTCTGTGAGCGTCTCAGCGAGAGAAGCTTGTGGCGGCTGGGCGCCCTCTTGCCTGCCACATCGGGATGACCTTGGGGACTCTGAAAGGAGAGGGGTCGTGGGTGGCTGAGCCAGAGTTTCGCCTGCGCGAACGGGCAAGCGCACCCCCCCCCCTCCCTGGCGGCTCCGCCCTGGGGTGCTCAAGTACCTCGCCTGCTATGCCGCGATGAGCATGGGACTCTGACAAGGCAGAGGTCTGGGACACCAGGCAGGCAAACCGCGTGAGACATCCCCATTATCTAGGCGCGAACTGGCGCATCTCCCAATTACCCAGTGGCAGCTCCTCATGGAGTTGCTCACATGCCATGCCTGCTACATCGCGCTGAACATGGGGCTTTGCAGAGAACGAGGTCTGGGCCACAAAAGAGGCACTCCGCTGGAGACATCGCCACGGTCTGGGCGCGAACGGGTAGCTGTCTTACCTTATCGCGAAGGGCATGAGGCCTTGAACAGAGATGAGCCTGGGCCACAAAACAGGCACACCGCATGGGACATGCAAATGTCATAACCCTTGTAGGCTCCATCTTAGGGTGCTCAAATGCTACGCGTGCTGCATCGCGACGGTCATGTGGCTCTGACCAAATGCAGGCAATTCGCTTGAGGCACACCAAGAATCTGGCGCAAATGGACAGATGTTCTACCCTCTGGCGGCTCCTTCCTGGAGTCCTCAAGTGCCACGTCTGCCATGCTGGATGTGAGTTAGTCTGAGCGTGAGCGAGTCCGAGTGCGATTGGCTTATTGTAAGCGTGGTCTGAGAATGCGTGACTCCTGATACGAGTACGAGGCTGTGAGTGAGTCGGAGTGTGCGTGAGTCTGTGTGTGAGCGGGTTTGAGTGTCAGGGAGTCTGAGTACTAGTGAGTCTGGGTATGACTTAGCTGAATAGGAGTATGAGTACATGTGTGTGAGTGGTGCGTTTATGCGTGAGTGGGAACGCCAGTGAGTTGTTGTACGAGTGAGTCTGAGTATGAGTGAGCCTGACTCTGAGAGTGAGTCTGGGTGCAAGCGAGTGTGAGTCTGAGTGAGCCAGAATGTGCGCGAGAGTAGCCGGGAGCAGGGGAGACGCGAGAGCGAGTTGGGATGATGGAGGAGCGAAGTTGGAGCGCGGTGGGGGGATCAGAGGGTAGGGGGGCTAATGGGTAGAGGGAGTGAGAAGAGGTGAGCAGGAGCGGGCGTAGGGCGGAGGAGGGAGGAGAGGACAAGGAGCACGGAAGGGGCGAAGGGATGAGGGAGACGGAGGAGGAACGGGGGGACGTCGACCCAGGCGGGGCAGGGGGAGGGAGGAAAGCGACGCGGAGGATTACGGCGGAAGAAGTGGTCAGGAGGGAGGTGGGAGGACGAAACGGGGAGGAGGAGGAGCACGAGGTGGAGGAGGAGGAGGACCAAAGTCCAACGATGCATCAGCGATGCTACACTACACCTCTCCGTGCCAAGTTCCCCCTTGATGCGCCCCTACACGTCTTTGTTTTCTCTGCCAGGAGCGCCCCGTCGAACGGCCAGTAACGCTGGGCCTGCCATTCTGGCGAGGGCCCCGCTTTGACATGACACTCGCGTGCATCGTTCTGGCTCGTGGCCAGGACTGCGAAGCACACGGATCATACAGCTCAACGGGGTGACAGCGCCCCGCTTATGCAATTGTTGCACGGAGTTTCATATTTTGCCGTGGGTTTAGAGGACGTGCAACGCGACAGCTCCATTCTGGAAAGGGCCGCCATGGATTCGTGCAACGCTGCATGCGTTGAAGCGATAGGTCTTCACATTTGCCAAAGTCTCAAGCGAACGCTCCATCATGTAAAAGAAAAGGTATCCATCCTGTCGGGCGCTGTGTTTTGCAAACGAAAGCGCGCGGCGTTGAGGCCAGAACCCCCAACAGAACACTATCAATGTTCAGTGTTGAAACGAATGCAAGATTCCGAAACGAAGAATCACGTCGCCTAGGCAACCGTTCCACATTGAACAGGAGCCGCCCTCCATCCAAAATGTTAGTGCGAAATCTTAGGACGAATGCTTGTGGATCTCAGGCGGGGACATACATTTGAACTTTGCCCCTCTTCGTCGTTGGGATGCCGAAATTCAAAACGAATGTGTGCGGCGCTATCGCGAGAGCTACATGCTGAAACTTGTCCTTCTCCGTCCTTACAACTGCTGCGAACTTGAGGACGAATGAATGCGTGCAGCGCTAAGGCAAATGCCTTTTCCGCATACATCCTGCGGTGTTGGGTATTCGTTTTGAAGAGACAGCGCCCCGCGTTTCTCCTCCTTCTCCTCGCCCCCCCTCCTCACATCCCTGCCTCTGCACACCGCACCCAGTCCAGCGCTTCGTCGCCCAATAGGGAGCTCCACCGAAGGCCCCAGCGGCTGTGACCACATGCGTCCGCGCCACCCAGTACACTGTTTGTTCCGTGGCCCCATGGGGAACTCCACCGAAGGCCCCAATAGATGTGACCACATGCGTCCGCGCACTAGAATACAGCTTTCGCGGCCGCGTAGGGAGCTCCACCGCAGGCCCCCGTGACTGTGACCACATGCGTCCGCGCCACCCAGTACGGCGTTGTATTGCCCCATACGGAGCTCCATCCAAGGCCCCAGTGGCTGTGATCACATGCGTCCGCGCGCGCGAATAAACGCGCCACCCAGTACAGCGCTTCGTGGCCCCATAGGAACCCTACCGAAAGCCCCAGTGGCTGTGACCACATGCGTCCGCGCACGAGAATGCAGCGCTTTGTGGCGTGGCCCCATAGAGAGCTCCACCAGGCCTCCGTGGCTGTGACCACATGCGCCCGATCATGAGAATACAGCTTTTCGTGTTGAGCTCCACCGAAGGCCAGAGCGGATGTGACCACATGCGTCCGCGCCACCCAGCGCAGCGTTTCGTAGCCGCGCAGGGAGCTCCACCGAAGGCCCCAGCGGCTGTGACCACATGCGTCCGCGCCATCCAGTACAGCGTTTCGTGGCCCCACAGGGAGCTCCACCAAAGGCTCCAGTGGCTGTGACCACCTGCTTCCGCGCTCCCAGCCGCTCCTACACCAAAGCGCTCCCAGGCGCTCCCAAGCCCTGCCAGGCGCTCCCAAGAGCTCCCAAGCTCTGGGCGCTTCCCTGGCGATCCCATGCCACCCCGGCGATCCCAGGCGCTTCCCAAGCGCACCCAGGCGCTTCCAGGCGCCCCCAAGCGCTCCCAGGCGCTCCCAGGCGCTCCCGAGCGTTGAGAAGCGTTTCCCACTAGCTCCAGGCGCTCCCATGTGGTCTTGGACGCACCCAAGCGCTCCCAAACGCTAAGCGTTCCCAAGCGTTCCAAAGCGCTCTCCAGGCGCTCCCACACGCGCTCCCGGGCGCTCCCACGCGCTCGGTCCCAAGCGCTCGCAGGCGATCCCAGCTTCCCAGGCGTTTCCTCGGCGCTCCCAAGCGTTTCCGGCGCCCCCAGGCGCTCCCGAGCTTTCCCACGCGTTCCCGGCCGCCCCCAATCGCCCCCCAGGGCGCTCCCGAGCGCTCGACGGCGCTCCCGAGCGCTCCCAGGTGCTCCCACGTGCTCACAGGCGATCCCCAGGCGCTCCCACGCTCCCCCAAGCGCTCCCAGGCGCTCCAGGCCTTTCCCATGTTTTCCAAGCGTTCCCAGGCGCTCCCAGGCGCTCTCCAGGCGCTCCCGCAAGCGATCCCAGGCGCTCCACCGAGGGCCCCAGTGGCTGCGAATCACATGCGTCTCTCCCGACCCATTTCGGCACGCCCCTCGCACGATTCGTGGCCTGCCTCTCGGGAGCTGCACCGAAGGCCTCGCGGCCCCGCTCATGTCGGCATACCAGTCACGCGTCCTTTGGCCCCTCCTTCGTCCCGCCTGCCTTGAGGTACTGACATGCATACGGTCGGTCCTTCGCCAGGATGCTTTGAAAACGCTCAGCCCTCCACGCGTGAAAACGTCCAAGTCTTACGGACGAGCGTGCGCGGCGCCAGTCTGAGAGCAGCATCTTCGATCGGGACCCCTGCAGGTGTGAAGTTGCTGCAGTACTTGAAAACGGGTGTGCGCGGTGCTAAGGCGAGAGCCACCTTTTGAAAACGACCCCCGCATGCGTGAAACTGATGCAATGTTTAAACGGCGAATGTGCGCGGCGCCAGGGCGAGAGCCACACTGTGATCACGACCCTCTCTGCATCCGTGAAACTGCTGCGAACTTAAAACGGATGTGCACGGCGCTGTGAAGACGTTGCAAATTTCATTTTTCAGAATCACAAGTAGTGAGGATGTCTCAGGTGGAACGCCCGACCCGCCCTACCGACGCGTCTGGGGGTGCGACAGGGAGGATTTGTTCATCCAGCTGCC